AAATCGAACTTTGAAGTTTACTGATATAACACTCTAATATTTCGCGACTGGTGGATTCACGTATAGGCGGCTACACGTGTTTCTGTATTTGTTATCACAGTAAAATGTCGTATTTAACAGTAAATATTGTGCGTGACCAGGTGAACAGATTGAACCATATGTACAATCCAGTGTAAACGCTTTCGTTTTAATCCAGTCAAAATATTAGTTTAGCAACAGCTTTTGTCACCTTCTGTTAACCATTATTTTACGTGTCGTTTCATGAATTTTACAGTTATAGCTCCGAATATTTTTGAATGCTATCGTGCGAAGTTTCTTTCCTATAGACCACACCTATACTACATCAAACCACATCCTGAAAATATCACTACTCATTTCACTCCAGTAGTAAAAAAAAATGGATGTAATTAGCTTTTACATTTGGAATTTTTTCACTTTATTATGGCGGTAAATACAACTGATTAACGGAAAAATAGAGTGAAAGGTAAGTTGCTTTTGGAGGGGTAACTGGTCTGTGTAGCAAATATTGATTTAATTTTTAGCGCACAATTCGAAAGTAAAATTCTGTTTCCATAACCTTGGGTATGCCTAACTTATCAAAAATATGGTATAACACACGAAGTTGAGTTTCAAGTAGAAAAAAACTGGTGTAAAATTTTATGTAAGTTGAAATGCATTTAACATGAACTTAATTTTCCATATTGCACAATGAATGTTTTTCTTTTAAAATGTTATTGTCAAAAAGTATGAAGGCATAACAATATTTTGATGCTACTCGGCTAAAAATAGCTTCATTTTCTAGTTAAAGATTCGTTATTCAAATAAGTTATTATGACCTCAGAATTTTTCACGTTAACACTTTAAATATAAATATACAGATCAATGTGTTTGTGAAAGTTCTCCATATTTTCGGTAATGAAGCTAAAAAGTAAGCGTATGAATATTTAGCTAAAACCAAGAGAAACTTTACTCGAAGAATCACTTCAGCGAGTCTTAACATTTTAGATGTTCTATGCAGTCAATTTTCATGAAAGTTAAAAAAGAGCGGAAGGAAACGAGAGTATTGCAATGGAAATCGCTAAAAAGTGATATTCAAAACATACGTTTTGATGAAACATTTTTATATGTATGTCAAAAACAAACGATATTTTATGTATGTTGAGAAAAACTTATGTTTTTTGAGATATCACAATTTTTCATATAAATCAAGCTTATGTGTTTGGTTTGTTATTTTTAACGGTCTGAACGTTTGAATATTGGCCCGGCATGGCCAGGTGGTTAGGGCGTTCGACTCCAATCTGAGGGTCGCGGGTTCGAATCCCCGTCACACCAAACATGCTCGCCCTTTCAGCCGTGGGGGCGTTATAAAGTGACGGTCAATCCCACTATTCGTTGGTGAAAGCGTAGCCCAAGAGTTGTCGGTGGATGGTGATGACTAGCTGCTTTCCCTCTAGTCTTACACTGCTAAGTTAGGGACGGCTAGCGCAGATAGCCCTCGTGCAGCTTTGCGCGAAATTAAAACAAACAAACAATGTTTGAATATATCTCATTAAATGATTCTTCCAACAAAACTTGTTTCACTTCAGCATCACGTGTTTTCTTCTGCTTTGTATATCAGTAAATCAGTGACTGATTAAAAAGAGCTATAAGAATTTAAAAAATGATTACTTTGTTCTTAAGATACGTAAATGTTAATAAAGCCATTATTTTAGTGCTTAAAAATGAAAATTAGTTAAATTCAAAGGATATTCTTGTTTCTATTAACG